GTCACACGCACACCCGCGCCGACATGTGCACGCACACACGCGGCCCGTGCCGAGCCGGCCCGGAGAGACTCGTGTGTAGGCACACGCACGCAGACATAAGCACACGCGCGCGGGTGAGCGCACACGCGCGCACCTATTGAACACACGTAGGTGTGTCCGTGCACACGCACGCACATATAGAGACGTGCGCGTATACACATACGTGCGCACGCCGCGTACCTCGTTGTACATGCCCAGCCTGTCTGCCTTAGACCCCACACCCCCCATCCCGTGCACACGTGCGCGCACGCCCCGCCCGGCCGACTGTGTGCACCCCGCAGCTCGCGTGCAGGGCCCTGCCGGGACACGCGCGGCCTCGCGGGCAGGGTCACGCGCGAGAAGGGTTGCGGCAGTCGGCCCGAGCGTGTGAGGCCGCAGCGATCCCCGACCCGTCTGGCCAGAGCTGTGCTAAATGCGGATCTACGCTTTGTTTTTGCAGCCCCGCGTGCGCGCAGGCAGCTGGGCCTCTCCGGAGAGCCGCACTCCCCCCCGGCCCCGGGCGGGCGGGCGGGCGGGTCCCCCTCGTGCATTATTCACGCGGGGAGCGCAGCCGGGCCGCGGGCAAGTTTCCATGCGGAGCTGCCCCCCCGCAGCGGGACTCACGTTTCCCCGCCCGCAGCCCGGCATCAATAGTTAATGGAGCTGGAGCCGGGGCCGCCTGGCAGCGGGGCTGGCTGGGCCGGCGGGCACTGCCAGGCTGGGGGGCGGGAGCCTCTGCGCATTGCAGGCACAGCTGGGCAGCCTCCGGTGCCCTGCACCTCAAGGGCAGACTGGGGCGAGGGTGCCAGCGCAGCCCCTCTGCCTCGCTCTGCTGCAGGGGCAGGTAGGGGTGGGCAGGGCAGCATCCCGCCTGTCTTGCGCTTGTTACGCGAGTGAGGGGCATGGCCTTTGTCTGCCCCCGGCCGGCCCGGCGGGTGGGACGATCTCTCCAACAGGCTCCTGGTGCTCTGGGGAAACCGCCGGGCACTGCCCCGACCCCTCATTCCCGCGGCAGCCCCTGCTGCACTGGGCCAGGAGCGGCGCTCCGGGCGGCCCGGCCGTGTGGCTGCAATGCCGCCGCGTGCTGAGCAGGGACCAGCTTGCCCGGCTGGGTCCTGAGCAAGCCAGCACCGGGCTGTGGCGAGCACTGCTGATGTTGCCGTCTCTCCAGCCCACGAGCGTGCGGGTGACCTGGCCTCAGCGTGTTTACACCAAGGGAGAAGAAAGGAGCGAGCACAGGCCAGAAATCCCTGTCCTGGTGCGACGTACTGGAATCCGGTGTCGCTTCCCCGGTGGGGGAAAAGCACCCGGTAGCACAAGCGCACCAGCTGAAGTTAGTGCTGGAGGCACGCCCACAGCCGTCGAGGGGTAGGCAATGGCCTAAGGCAGAGGTGATCTGTGCCACTCGCACACACCAGTGTATGAAGCAGATGTAAACTACACAGCTGCTAACATGCCCTGGGTCTAGATCCCAGTCTCTTCAAAGCCCTTGACTAAGCGAACAGCAAAAGTTCAAATACACGACATCAACGGGCTCTGCTTTATCCATTTTTTGAGTGTGGGAGGCAGCAGAGCCTTTGCTCCAGGAAACTTGGCTGGTAGATGGTCATGGTAGCATTGTGCTGGGGTTTGGGCTGAACTAGTTTAGCAGAGGTGAGACTATATTCCTGGCACTTAAAGGGGTCAGGCTTGTTATCCTTTAGGTGTAGCGAGAGAGACGTGTCCCATCTCAACCACCAGCGAGATGCGCTTTCCCAAAGAGGCGCTGTGGCTAATGACCGCAGCCTCCAGCTTCCCCCACAGGCCGTAGCCCAGACAGCCACAGGAGGCAATCACTGCCCAGCCCGGGCCACCACTGGTGGTGAAAGGGCACATTTCGGCAACGGAAGCAGAATCGTGTGTTCAACTACAGGGTACTCGGGTCCAGTCCTCTTTCCTTTAAACATCCCTCTGACAGGACTCCAGGCGTGACTGGCATGTTCAGGGTCACCTCCACCACATTAGCACGACCACCGCTGATCGCCATCAGGGACTTGTGCTGGGACAAACAAAATCAAAGGAGTCGAGCGGGGTCACAGACCGGTGTGCCTTCACAGCAAAGCCAGAGAAAAGTGAAAAGTAAATTGGAAATTCAAATGGTTCAAGTGCTGTGTTTGTGTCATTTCTCTAGAAAAGTCTAACACCAGGGTGATCCCCCTCTGGTGAGAAATGGATTTTAAAGCACTCTTGCAATATTTGGCTTGTGCTAGAAGCGTGGAGCCAAAGAGATGGGTACAAAAAGGCTGCTGCACGTTATTTTTTTCACTCAGACATCTGCAGTTTATTTTTAAATGAGCACGTTCATTTACACTTTAGTACAAAATGGCCACTTTCCCCATGAGAGAGGAGGTCTCCCATTGAGTAAAAAACTGACAAGAGAAAATGTCAAATTATTCAAATAAATAAAACATTTAAATTACTCAACGGTTTTGCTCACCAGTCTCAACAGCTTGGATGCTGCACAATACGCGTGTCGAACCTTTCCTAAAGATGATACTCACGTCCCATTCCCAACAGGTGTGACATAAAATATACAGTTTGCAATTAAATATTAAACACGAAGGAATCATTTCACTTGGCTTTTTTTTGGCACGTGTGGCTTTTTCTCCTCCGACCGAGCAAGCCCTCCATTGTTTTCCCTTTCTCCCTGAAGTTTAACATTTGCTCACTGAGAAACTCCAGACGGCTAAAAAAGCTGGAAGTATCAAAGCGACAAAATGCAGCCCAAAGGTTACTTGGTTTGGGATGGTTCAGATTGCACCATTTTCATGAGGAAAACGTGTGTGGTTGAATTCTTTGTAAAGCAACATTCTGAGACTGATATTTTCAGGGCATTTCAAAAAAATACTCTTATAATTTGGCTCTGTAACACAGCATGAGAAAACAGCATTGCCCATCTCAGGGACACTTAATAATACTTTCTGTAGACACGGCCGATCATGAGTATGGCAGGATTAACTCCGGAGCGCAGGGCTCCGCACTGACCATTGTGATACATAAAACACAACTCATCAAGGTACGATTACAAAATGGCAAATACACTGAGATTTGTGTAACAATTACATCCAAAATTCAGGGTTGGTTTCCAAGCGAGGTCACTGTTACCAAAGCTTTGTACTAATTAAGCAGCAAAACTTAGCTTATTACACCATGTGACATGATCCAAATCCCATTTGCATCTATTTTTGGGGAAAAAAGCTGGAAGTTTGGGTCTCTGTTCAATTTCCTGCTTCAAACAGTGTAAAGGCACTATGAAAGCCTACAGGACTCCTTCAGCAAATGAAGATCAGGTTCCCAAGTACGTCCTAAAATAACCCACTAGTTGTTTTGCAGGCAAAATCATCCCGACAAGCTTTCCAAAGTGGTTTTAATACACACATGAAAATAAGCAGGACGTGCCCAAAATGAACCAGCTCAGTGCTAGATACCCAGCAAAGTTGAAAACAAAGTAACGGTCATTTGATATGAAAATATGCAAAACGAACAACTGCAGGAAACAGAAAGATGACACAGACTTAAAGCTCTCCGCATGGGTACCTAGCACATCACCGGGTATTTCGAGATGCAGCGCCTCCCTCAGCTCCTTTTGACCTCAAATCCAGCTCCGAAAACTGTGCCGCTTGTTACGATTACATTAGATTACCTGACATAAGATACCCAGTTTGGTTAAAACCAGAGGCCAACATTTTCCGTTTCCCCAGCTCTGAGCCCCATTATTTGAATCTGGGTAATAACTAAGCGCAATGGCATTGATTACAGGCTGCAGGCTTTGATTTTTAACTCGTTTCACCATCTGGCTTGTAAGCCATTTCAATATTTAAAAATCGGTGCAATAAGCATCTTGGTACTTGCTTAAAAATCTCACGAAGGAGGGAAGAAACCGTTCCAACAAGTCGTGTCTCCCCTCTTAAATCAGACATTTTCATCCAGCCCTGCACACTGACTTGAAGTCACAATGAGTTTCATCTAACATGTCCTTGGACACTGTTCCCCCATGTCACCTAGGGCCCTAAAAGGTAGCTTAGGAAAGCTGAAAATGTTTCCTTTACTGCCGTCACGGTCATGCAGATTTTGCTTCAGACCCGTGACGGTGTACGCAGTTAAAAACCTTTTAAATGTAAATGTGTGTGTCATATCAGTATCCGCCCTTGTTTCTCCGTGCAATTATTTGCCCTATTTTCTTATTTGCAATTGAAGCTGTGGAGGAGTTGTGTGTCAAACTTCAGCTGGAGACATATATCAAATTCAGTTATCATTAAAAGCATTTTCTCGCTGAGCGCTGTGTCTGTCCTAAGCTTTAGCTCAAGATCACGGCAAGGTTCAAATCCTTCATCCGAGGGCTTGTGAGGGAAATCAGAGGGCAATGTGACTGAGGTTTGAAGGCCCCGTGCAAATCCAGCACGTTACTAATAGGCCCAGCAATGAAAGAGAGAATGAACAAATTACCCGGGTGTTATTTCCTCCCTCTTTTATAGTGCAAGAACAGTGCGTGTACGTGTGCCGGGAGGAAGGGGGGAATTAAAGGAAATTTTAAGTTCACTCCCAGGTGATCAGAACCACCCTTTTATGCACTGTAATTACTCTGCAAAACACACAGCCACAAGACGACATTGAGGCTAGGGTTTTTCGGGTTATATAATTAGACAAGTATGTGGATAATGAGAACATTCCCAGCTACAGCAAATGGGACCATCAACTCCTTCTCCTAAGCACAAACCGATTACCAGTAGGTGAGATCAAGAAGAAACTTATCCTCCAGGTCTCATCGTTTTATATTTCTTCACATGCTCCCTCACACCTTCCCCCGAAAGACTGAACAAGTGGGCCTGAGACCTGATCTGGCAAGTCAGCTGCTATGTTCCCGACTGGTCCCACAGCCCAGCGGGGAACAGCAGTGGTGAGCAGAGCGCACTAGCACAAGCAGAGGAATGGGAGACTATTTTCGAAGTAATGACTATTCTTCTGACATAAAGAAACTTTACAGGTGGGAGATAATATTCCTCGTCGCACAGGCTCAGGACTGGAAACAAGCACATGAAACACTTACACTGTGGAATCCCGTTACACGAATATTTTAAATTGTGGAGCAACAACGTAAGCAGCTCACTAAAGACAACTGCAATTTCTGGTGCCCGGAAAAGGCTGAAGACTTGTGTTCCCCTTTGCTAGGAATTTCACTTCATCGGAAATCATTAAAAGTGGGCTCCACGAAGAGAATTCAGCAGTGCTGCTTTTCCCCAAACTCTGACAATAATTATTCCTTAATAAATCAGGAAGAAAGGGTTAAAGTTATTTACTCTACTGCGTAAATCCAAGCCTCTTCTCATGAACCCTCGGAGGAGCTGCACTGAAGTCGAAAGGGTTCATTCGAAGGAGCACCAGCAAAAGCAAGATTAAAATCTGGCCTTCTGTATGCTGTTCAGCCCATCTGTGACCCTTATGAGGGTGTTCGTATTCTTGGCTGCAGTAGGCAAAGGAGGACTTACAGGGACTCAGAGCCACGGCTACAGAAACAGCATAAAGTAAAAATATTTAATAGTTTTTGAAGTTTATTCAAAAGACATTCCTGTCCCCTCTGGAAAAAGCAAAATTCTTGCTTCTTCAAATGCCCAGCAAGATGTTCTGCTAGACCAGGGGATAGAGATACCCTCTACTCAGGTTTGGATAAAAGTAAGGAGCCCACTCAGAGCACCAAAAAACAGCACTGTTTCTTCCCAAAACTTGGAACAGCTGGTTACAAAGGGTGCAGGATGCAAGCAAGTAATGGTATCTTCATGGAAAAGCACGTTTCTCGTTTAGGGCATGTTTTATGGCAGCGCTACGTGTCCGGATGTTACACGCAAAGACTGGGATTCCTACAACAAAGACTACCACAATAGAAATCAACTGGGGAGAAGGGTTTTTGAAACAAGTGAAATACTGCATATAAAATCCCTGATCATAAATATTAAAGCTGCATCTGTGCTCATCAGCCACTTACAATGGAAATTTCACTTCCGATTTTGATTTCTATACAAATGGACGATAATACTTCATTTTCCACCTTCTGGACCGCATCCGGAAAAAAAAGTACATTATCATTAAAAATAAGGATGATGCTACATAAAGTACAACACACAGACTCATGTCTATGTTAGAAAATCCAATCCCTAAGAAAGATACAAACTGTTTGGTCTCTTTACGAATAACTGGTTCAGCTGCATTTTTATTTCTCTCTTTGACAGGTCCATCATTTGCTATTAATCTATCTAAGACCTTTGATTTTGGATCTAGCATGTTTTGTTGCTCCAGGTTATTGTTCTCTTTGTTTCCGCTTGGTTTTCTGGGTGAAGACTTCTCTTTCTTCTCCTTCACATCCCCAAGTTCAGTTTCACTGGAGTCAGTTTGGCCTTCGATGTACTTGTACAAAATGTTCTCGTTGTTATAGTGATGCTTCAAGAACTGTAACACTTGTGCCTCGTTCCAGCTGTGTAATCCTTTAATTTCTTCGTGGCAAGCAGGGCACAGATCTGGAGTGGGCCACTGAACTTTAGGAAACTTTGGATCCTCGCTCAGATCACCTATACGAAGAAAGAGAGAAATCCAGTTGATAAAAATCCCTATCAGTCTAGTCATTGAAACCCATGAGACAACTTTCCATTTAACACAAACACTAGGTTCAGTTCAACAAGAGAACACGCATTAAAGAGCAATAAAGTTGTATTTTTGAATAAATAATTCATTGTCAAGTAAGACGCTGGCTTCCTTCCGGAAATGTCAATTTTCATATTCTAAGTTACTGTTTTATTCTCTTCCGATGAAAACGTGAAATGATGAGCCTCTCTCTCTTCCTGGAAAAATCTGTAGCATTCAACTGTACTACGAGAGTATTTTGTTTCCTGTTAACCAGTGATAAAAAGAAACAGCCAACTGTGTTTTCAGAGGGTAATTTGAACTAGGCTTCAAAATGGACTGCTCTTTTGCACAGTCCTCCATAATCCTGTAGCCTACTTTTCAGCAAGCTGCTTCAAGGCCATTCAATAACTTGCGGATATATTTTCATGTTTCTATAGATACTGGGGACCATTCTGTATTTATCCAGCTTTTGCCTAGCATCTTCTGTTATTACAGGACGCCATCGGCAGCGCTGTAAAGACTTTAAGACACATTTTTCAGTTTGCCTTTTAGCATTTATACACATATTATTTTCTCTGGGACTGAACTCCATTTTAATGTTTCAATTGCTTGTAGATGGAGTTATTTTTCTGGCTTGATGGGAGGGAGCTGATAGTTCATGTTGTAGCCTGCTCTAAAATAAGCTTCTTATCTTTAATTGAGATAATTTCATCTTTATCTGGTTAAAAAAAAAGTCAACGTGGGTGTCGTGTTTGTATCTGGTTTGGATTAATATATTAATTGTTCATAGATTTTGCAGAAATATGGCCCATCTTTTCAGTGCCACACTCTAATTTTTAAGAAGCAAACTTTCTCCTATTCTGCAAACACTTTTAGCCAAAAACAACAAATAACAATATTTCCCTATTTTATTTCCATTTGTATATAAAGTAGCAAATGTATTTCCCTTTCATGTTTTCATGCAAGGCATTTAGCAGCAAGAATCAGTCATCAGTTCCTTTAAGAGGAAAAAGTCTTAATAATATCTCCTGTTAATCAGCCTAACAAGCTACTGAAACCTTAAACTAGTCCACTCTCTCCATCTACAATCTCTCAATAAAGCTGGTCACAGTGGGTAAACTTTTAAGCTACCATGGCTTAGGATGCAACTGAATAACAGAAAAAAACAAATTTGCAAAATGATTTCATGGTGAACTATAGGTAGTAGTGCTGGGGTATTTTTGGTAACCAGTAAGCCTAAAATGTCTCGTATTTACTGCAAGTTCCATGCACGTGACCATAAATAAGGATGATCTGTTTGAGAAAGACACCAAGTAATGCAAAAAATAGTTAATCACAGTCCAAAGCAGAAACCAAACTTTGGCAAATATACCCCAAATAATCTGGCATTATTAATCATCCCCATACAAGCTGAAGTTTTTTTTTAAAGCAATTTAACACAGTCTTGCATTACTGAAAGCGCCGAGTAAACTCTCCAATGAGAAAAGTAATTTATTTTTCCTCCTACAGTAAATACTACGTAACTTAAACTGGAAAAAAAACACAGATTCTATCAGGCAACGGTATACACGTTAGCAGAAGTTTTTATTGAATCTCCCATCATGCGCTTCTCATATTGGGAGGCAAAAGATAAAACATCTGCAGTCACAACAATATTTAGAGCTTCAGGTGTTTTGAGAATGTGGCTTAACCACAAAGCAAACACAATGGTGCATATTTAAATTGTAACTAATGCTACATTACACTGATCCATAACAGCTGGCAGTTATTAGGTGCAAATAGAAACCAATTTTCTTCAGTGCTTTAGTTATTTGATATCTGTATAACACAATGGATTTAAATATAACCTAATATTTTAGCGGCGTTTTTAGTCTCTCTCTACCAAAAAAAAAAAAGCTCTCTATGGGCCACACCATATTTGAAGATTGATTTTCTTTTATTTAATATACTGATATATACAAAGTTTATACCATTCTACACTGAGTAACGATATCTTGTTCTCCAATGGTTTTTGTAATTCCAGGCAGAACCACGGGAAAGAGGTTTTAATGTCCGCATAAACCATTGTGGAGAGACACACAATTATTCTTATTTACAGAAAAGCTGCTGAACTGCATTACTAGGTTTCAACGGGCTTTAAATTGACCTCCTAGAGGCTCATTTAATCATTTAGCAGGTCAAAACAGCAGAAAAATGGGTGCTCTAGAGAACAGCGGAGTCTTTTCTACACATCCTTGTGAGATGAACTACCACTACCCCAGAATAGGGTATACCTTAAATGTAAGTTTCTTGGCCATGTTACCTTGCTGGAATTGGGCAACTCACAATTGGTTACACTTTTTCAGCAAGCTAAATAATTATTAATATGCAGCATGTTAAATTCTGGTCTTGAATATGAATGCAAAACTGAAGTTATTTCACTGTACAGGAGATACAGGTATAAGTCAGGGTAGATTAAGTTACTCTGGGTTTCTGCTGTTCTGGAAGAGAATATGGGCGTATTACCAAACTGTACTATTATCATGACTACTCGTCCAGAGTTAACTTTGGTAGGTTCTCCTGACACAGGTCTCCATACCTGCAAGCCTGTTGTTCACCACATTGTGCTTCTCCCACAACCAAAGAACTGCCTTGTCTAGTGTTTTCACAGAGTCCATGGACTCCTTAGCCATTTCTTCAAAATGCTGGGCACAAGCCTTACACCCGAAGAAGTGCTGAATATACCTCCGCATCATCTGCAAGACCACTTGGGGATTGTCTTCAAAACCTGGCAAGAAGGAAATTAGATCCTCGTTAGCAGCATCCGGACAAATACTGCTTCTGACATTTATTTCCTGTGCGTAAGCCAAAGTACTAACAAAACAACATGAATCATGGGAAAAAGATGGAAAGGAAACATTGCCTCCTGCTGGTTCTATGCTAAATTACAGCAGCATTTTCAATTTAGAGAATTCATTTCATTTGGGTGGTTTTCTGTGGATCCATGAACCGCTTCAGATTGCCCAGCAACCTTATCTCCGTGAATCGCGATAGAGACAAGCAGTACGAAACAAAAGAAAGAGAGCGAGTGGCCCAATAAGGGCAGTAAGAGTAAAGCATTACAACATTAAAATAAAAATGTTTAAGAAGTTTTGTGCAGGAATGGGGCACTCCCCCCAACTATTAAAAGTAGCAGCACTGTAAAGTTATAGTGGTGTCACTTAGTAATTGTGATGAAGGAGGATGGGACTTATTTTTGGTCAAATCAGCTGGTTCAGAAGGGGGATGTTATGTTATGAAAAACGACTGAACGATCCCCTAAGAGGGTCAGAAAGCTACAGTTCCAAGCTGATTATTACATCCCGTGATGATATTAAAACAAAATAAAAATCATTAAGTCTCTACAACAGTTTTACGTGCATAATCTTACTGCCTAAGGATATTTGCTACCCATACAATTAAAACCAGCTTGCGAGCCCATATAAAGTAAGCACAAGTACGTAAAATACATTTACTGTAAAAAGTTGTGCTGACCATTAGCTTGGATAATATATTATATTCAAAGCTAAGACATCAATGTTCTAGGGCACCAGGTTCTGCATTTCAAAGGGTGTTTTTCAAATACACAGGAATAGGCAGCTACATTGAACACAAACCATAAAACATTTCTCTTAGCAAACAAAGAAGATTTGACATGGTTTAAGCACGTGAAAACAACTGTGGTGTCTTTTACAGTGCAAGGAATTTTTTCCAGAAGTAGAACTTGCTTTGACATTTTGCTCAATTCCTAAACCAACACATGTAATATATACTGAATATTCTATTTGCGCTCAAATACTAAAATGATGGATGAACTTAAAGCGCACAAGCACCCAAAGCTCTCTGACACAGGACTCCAGTTTCTCCTTCAACTTTCGTTAGTAATCTCCTTAGCTTTGAGAAATAAAGAACCACTACAATCTGACTACACTTATACACAAATATGCACTGTACACTAGTTAGCATAGTAGCTCTGCTACAGTAGCATTTATACTTATAAAAATAAAAGAGGGATACTTGAAATTATTTTCATTTGAAACCATAACTATATGGTCATAATATTCGCACCCTGGTGTTGAGGACTTACAGGTGCATTATTTTATCATGTATGAGACTTCTGCAATTGAGAAACCTTATCCTGCAGTTGCTCTGCAAAGTCCCTACTGTTACAATAGCCCCATTCCAGTTAGTGAGCTCAATTCAGAAAACCTCCCAGCAATAAAAACCTTCCCTTCTCGACCTGGAAGGACGTGGGAAGTGGGGTCCCACAGGGCTTGGTCCTTGGGCCTGCACTGTTCAATATCTTCATCAGTGATTTGGACGAGGGGGTGCAAAGCACCCTGTTCAAGTTTGCTGATGACACTAAGATGTGGGGGGATGTGGGCACAATAGAGGGGAGCAACAGGCTACAGTTGGACCTAGATAGGTTACAAGGATGGGCGGAGGAGAA